CCGCACGGTGGATAGAGTCCGATTGCGTTAAAAAGTACGAAAAACTTACTATTCAAAGAAAATATTAACTAGTTTCATTCAAAACCGGCTTGACCGAAAGCACCATCTCTCTGCTTCTTAAAAAAACGCACTTACTGGGAGAAAAAAAAAGGCATTTGTTAGCTTACCCAACAAGCTTGGTCACTTCAGGCTTTTTATCAAATCAACTCCTCGTTAGAAGGGTACGCTATCTCCGCTTGGTTGAAAAAAAAATCCACCGTGGTCCTTTTCAGTTTGCGATATAAATAAACAGAGAGGGAGGGGGAAAAAAAGTTCAAGTTTCTTGTTTTTCATGAAATATTTCTCCGACGTATCTCGCATCCGCGACCTCGCCGACTGCTGCGCGTTGCTCTTCTCTCCTTTGTGTTAATTTCACTCAAATCGAGTTTAATCCGATCGATCCCTCGGCTGGCCGCGCTCCCGAGTCCTCCCCTCCAGACACTCGCTCACCTTCCACGGCCAGGGGGGGGCGCGCTCCCGCGGACCTCTCATACAGATAAATACGCGGCGTGCGCGGTCACTGACCCAGCCGTGCCCGCGCACTCTGACTTCTAGGTTGGAGGGGGGGACGACAAATGGATGCAAAAACCTCCTCAAACAGCTGAAATCACTCTGTGGGTTGCTGTTTCAAATTAAACTTTAAGAGAATAGTAGTTTAAAGCGTGTTCAGAAACTCATTGTTGGCTTTGGAACAAGTTGGACAATTATTTTGAATAAAAGAGCACTCAAACTCATAAGCATTACCAAAAATATTTTTCATTTTGTTAACTTTTAAAAACATATAGCCTACACATACACGTATTTGGCGTGTACAGTATAATAGAAATATTATTGTTTATGCCTTAAATCATTACATTCTAATGTGTATTCTAATGTGGGAGAGCATGTAAAGAGAGAGGCAGGGTCCTGCTAAGTTCCACAGCTTAACTGATGCAAAGCACCATATTTGATTAAATAAAACACCTAACATAAAGCTGCACACTTCCCACGCTGACTGAAGCACAACAGATATCACCATGTCAAAGTGAAGCAGCAGATTTTCAAATCACCATTCAATCAGCATTTCTTTTTAGATGAAATGATGCATATTGAGGGAATATGAGGGACCTACAGTAATGCAAATGTCCCTGACACAATTTGTAATTTGCTTATCATGACAATCGGGCCTTAGGACACACACACTCTCTCTCTCTCTCTCTCTCTCTCTCTCCCCCTCACGTAGTTGCTGTGCATGTCCTAACTCTCAGATCTCTTTGTCTACTTTTATACTTCCTCCTTTCTGAAAAGTACAACACATTTCATGAGAACTTCCTAACATTGTTACATAATTTGTACATTAGATTCAGATAAACTATAGAGAACATTTTGTTATAACATAAGGTAAAAAAAAAAAAACAGGCTAATGAAGCTTTTATGTTGTGCCAAATGTTTACAAATGGTGAGAGGTCTGGACTTTGGGCAGGTCAGCTCAGCACCTGGACTCTCTGTAATGAAGCCATGCTTGTAATGAATGCAAGAAGCAGTTTAACAACTGAAAAGTTTCTGTCTGGATGGGAGCGTGTGTTGTCGTAAAACATATATGTTTTAAAACATTAACAATGCCTTTCCAGATGTGTAAGCTGCACTAATGTACCCCCATACTGACAGAGAGGCAGGGTTTTGCTGGTCAAAGGCCAAATGGTCCCTCCACTTTTTAGCATGGTGGGTGGAGGTGGTGTCAAATAAAATTACAATGAAATAAAAATTTGTAGCTAATTTGGCTGAAGCTGAGTGAAACCAACCCCTCCCAAAAAATGAACCACAGAAAAATAAAATTCTAATATTCTGAGTGGTTAGTGCTTCGTTTGTGCACTTGAAATTGTCGTTTGTGCTGCTATGGTTTTTTTTATATATTAAAGGTTTTTTGTGAGGGTCATTCAGTGGTCGCCATCGCTCCAAAATGAACCAAAAATGAACCAAACTAGTCAACTTTTGTTGTGCTTTGTTTGAACAGGTTTGTGCCATCGAAACGACTGTTTGTGCTGCTATAATTTATTAGATATTATACGTTATAATTTCAGACGATCACATGTCTGTGACTTCGTAAACAATTCAGGCCAAGTCACGTGATTGTCCGAAATTATAACGTGTGATATCTAATAAATTATAGCAGCACAAACAGCCGTTTCAACGGCACAAACCTGCTCAAACAAAGCACAACAAAAGTCGACTAGTTTGGTTCATTTTTGGTTCATTTTGGAGCGATGGTGACCACTGAATGACCCTTACAAACATTCTTTAATATATAAAAAACCATAGCAGCACAAACGATAATTTCAAGTGCACAAACGCGCACAAACGATGCACTAACCACTCATCCAATTTGCCTTTTGGGAGGAGTCAGCTTCACTTTGGTGGGAATGACTTCCAGCTGCAACCGCATCAAATTTTAGCTCTGTATCTGTCGAACTGATGGACTAAGCTGTATAGCAGCCATCTTGAATAGGGATGACTCCAAAAGTTAAGAGTTGTACATCCATTTGTTATTTTCAGAAAGTTTTGTTTAAATTCATTCAATGCTTCATGGGATATTCGTCTGACAGGGTTTTCAATTAAACAGAATTTTGTTTTTTTGCAAAGTGTTTTCATCAGAATATACTGTAAGTATTGAGGGTCAGTCTCAACTATCACCTCAAATTTTAGCACACCATTTGTAAAAACTGACTGAAATATACCCAGTTGTGGGTTTTCTAAAGTCAGTGGCTGTGGCAGCCACCCTGAATCCGGTCGACTCCAAAAGTTCATCAGTTGTAGACCTTCATCCAAACATCTCTTCCAGGTTTCATCAAAATTAGTTCAGTGGTTCAAAAGATATGTTGAGTTTAAACACATGCAGAAAAAAAATGTTATCATATTGGGCAATATTAATACTCTGGGTTTATTTTAACTTGCATCTTAGCCCACTGTTAAGTAAAGGCATATTTTCTTAGTTTAGGTAAAACATACATTTTAGAATAGGTTAAAGGTCACCTTTGCAGAAAGACCACCATCTGTTGAGAAAGAAATTATGTCTGCATTGTTCATATCATCTATCCATTTTCTGCACCCACCTTTGTCCTGTTCAGGGTCGCTTGAGCTGCAAGAGGTGGGGTACGAGTCCATCAGAGGGTCCCAACACAAGGACACACACAATACTTTGTTCTGCCTGTAAGTGAGAACATGCAGACTAAAAGCTGCAGCTTCTGGTTTGTAAATGATAAAATATGTGCATGAATTGCACTCGTGGTGTAGTGGTTAGCAGTGTTACCTCACACCCTGTTTCAGTTCAGAACCAATAGTTTGTGTGTGGAGTCGGCTTGTTCTCATCATGCTGAGTACTGTCACATCCTGCTGCAGTCCAAAAGGTTGACTGGTGGTCTCAAAGTGATCTCTGGAGTAACTGTGTATAATTATGTGGCTCTAATAGTACATTTCACTTCATCTTGTCATCCTTTAGTACATGACAAAAAAAAAACACCACTTTTTGAGGATGCTTTTTCAGTTAATTTTGTACAAAATAAATGAAGAAAGCTTATTAAATCTCAGCTCTAGACTGGTTAGACTCGTTATGATTGAATCTTGTTTTCCTTTTAGCCACTCTCCCGTAAAGCTCTGATTGTTGAAGAATCTGAGCAACATTTGTAGCTCAAGTCTCTTCCATCTCACCTGCTGAAGCTCGTAGCTCCTTCAGAGTGATCACAGGTGTCTTTGACACTATTCTGTTTGTGAGGACAGCTCGCTCTTTGAAGATCCACACACATTTCCCTTCCATTTCTTGGATTTAACAGAACTACGGTGGATGTTTAGGGCCCTAGAACTCCTTTTGTATCCATCCCAACTTGTACTTTTGAATGTGGTGTCACCTTAAAGCAAGTACATATCTATGCAATTACTTTTTTTTAATGGTAATGCTCCATAGACTTGATTTCACTTTGACATTGGAGTTTTTTTTTTTTTCAAAAAGGCCAACATTTTTATTGACTTTGAATCATTACAACAATAAAAGCATAAACATTTATAAATACTTAAGTATTAACATGTTTTATGTGTTTATTGTATTGTTTGCATTATGTCAAGAACTTTTATGCTGTTAAAATAATGACCGACTAATCCTGGGCATGGTCAGTCCAAAAGTTTAATCAGCTCCCAGACTGATACTCGGCAGCATCAGGAGAACGTTCAGTTGTGAAAACAGCAACAAACTAAACAGTTACGTGCAAAAATGTGGAAGTGTTATATCCTCTAACGTGGCATTCTCTCACATCTGTGTGGCATTTTTAAGAAATATTTATTAGACTGAAAGGCTGAAGGGATCATTATTTAACTAGTATCTGCACTTTCTTCATACTGTGTTCTGGGACTGTTGTCACAGCTCAAATGGTAACTATTTTCACCAGATTTTATCCCTTTTAGGAGCTGTACACAACATGTAAGTTATTGTTCAAAATCTTTCAAGAGAACATTGACTTTAAATTTCTGAACTGTCCCTGTCAATGGGCTTAAACTGCAGCAACATTTGGCTGCTTATGAGCAGATCTACACAATGAATCAGTTTGTAGGAGTCATCAGTTTGCTTTGAATCTATAGCAGAACTTCAGCCAACTTGAACTGCTGCGAATGAGCGCTCATGCATCAAGGCTGAGCCATGCGAGCCTTCCAGRACAACATACGTGTTTCAAAATGTTTCATTCATCAAGCAATCTCTCTGACCAACCCTCATCAGGGAAATATACTCTCAATGACGACTGAAGGTCAAACAGCACATTTCCAGGAGTCCCTTTTTCATCTCATTTTAATGACTGAATTAGGGAGCTAAACAGTGCAAGAAATGGGTATTTTAAAAAAATCTGGACAGAAAATAAAACAGCAGCTTTCTTTTCTTTTTTCCTTTTAGGGACTATATGTCCACATAACCATCAAGTTGACATGTTTAGAGTTTAGAATGTTTTATTATAGTTTATTGTGATAGCATTTTCATTTTTTTCTCTCTTTTTTTTAAAGGTTTTATTTTTTCCAAAGAACAAACACAGCAATAAACGTTGAGGGCAAGGAGGAGAGGCAGGGAGAGGAGGAGCGAAGAGGGCCACATAGATAAAGATAGACAGGTAGGAGAGATAGATGCATCAGGTTTGGCTTGGTCCTCCTCTGAGTTCACATACACACACTTACATGTTGGTTTACAAAGGATAATTATGCTCAGATTAAGATTAATAACTGATTGAATATATTGAAGAATAAAAAAAAACTGCCATGAAACCCAAAAGTTACAGTCAGCCTGGAGAGAAAACACAGCTTGGTTAGATAGACAAGAAAAATATGTATACATCATCTACACATGCATACATACATTGTATGCAAAGTTGCGTATGTATATTTGGAGGGGACCAGAAAAAAAAAAACAACAAAAACGATTTAGATTCGTTTCAAATGCCCCAATTTGTGCACAAAAATCAAACAAGAAAATAATCTTTAAATGTGCATCTAGACAAGTGATATATCGCCAAGGAGTTCATTAGTGGTGAAACTTTTATCTGCAAATAAAGGGTCACTGGTTTCTGCAGACATCCAGGTGTCTCAGGAAGGTGGGCGTTAAGGCAGACAGCTGATTTCAGGGCAGACCATAAGGGCTTACTTGACGTTTCGCTCACCTTCATTTGTTTTGTTGATAAAACACAAGTAAACACAATAACTTGGCATTAAAAAGAAGCAGGTACAGAGCTATTGCTGCTACACAGTTTGAGAAAATAAAGTGTGGGGGGGATGCAAGTAAACCGTTAGCAGTAAAATCATTACATCTGAGATTTTAAAGCAAAATAAACATGGCAGCAGTGAATCGAAGTGAATCGAGCTCCAAAACGGCAGATGAAGAACGCGTGCCGGCTAATTCAGGGTGGAAATCTTAGCTTGCTTAAAAAGGGGAGATGCTTTGACATTTTCAGTCAGAGTCAAAGTCTCCCACCAGGGACACTCAATACCTCTGCTCGGTCCTGTTAACAGCCTGTTATCATTCATACTTGTCATTTAAAAGAAAGGGCACCACCAACCCGAATGTACCAGGGCGGCCGAGTTCCTTTGGGTTTAAATGGGAGATTGTTCAAAATGCTAAAAAGCTGTTTCAGGCTCAGAGAACAGCTCTCTCAGCTCCTGGTTAAGACTTCAATAGACCATGACAACATGCCACGCTTCATGTTAAACAGCCAACATAGCTAGCTACACAAACCTAAAGAGCCATATATACACAGAAATGCACCTGATAAATATATTGAAAAGAAAATAAACAAAACAATTTCTAATTCATACATTTCTTTAACTTCATAATGGCAGCCATCACTCCACAACCCCTCGTTCAACCTTCCTGCTCATGTTCTGTTGTTTCATAAGGATCTATTTTCACACGCAACAGTTTAGTCTTTTCTCTACCCAGGCTTAAAAAAAAACCCTTTTTAATCCACAACCAGTTTTTAGTGTTTATGAAATACAAAATATCTGTGAGCTGGAAACAAAGGGCACGCTGGAAAACACAAAATAAGTTGGGAAAAAATGGACAAAAGTGACATGATTTGCATGTTTTTATGAACAAATAATACAGAGTGACTTGAATGCCTCCCATAGCTCACAAACTGACATCCTGGAATACATGTATCATCTCTATACGCACACTATACACACAGGCACAGCATGAAAACTGACTCAGCATGTAGAAACACGCCTGACTAGCAACGCTGCCTTTAACAAAAACAAAACAAAACATACAGATGTGTGTATAGACACAACACGGTGCCTGGTTTATTCCATACAGTTAGCCGTTAAAAGGGTTTCATTTCTAAACTCCTGCTCTGAATCAGTCTAAATAAAGTCAGCCCACCGCTGCCAGTTCATAGCTTCTGTGACTTTAAGGTACTGCGATACACCGACAAAATCCCTGCGACTCTAAAGGGCATGTGTAAATCAAACGGCTGAAAGAAAATCCAATTTCCACAAGTGCGTCTGTTTTTTTTTGTTTGTTTTTCTTTTTATGAAAAGCTTAAAATCTTTCTCTAACCAAAACAAACAGGTGAACAATCAAAAAAAAAAAAAACAACCTTTTGAATTAAATCTACAGGTGAAGCTGACTCGGTCCTCATAAGACTGTAAGAAATCATGCTGACTCATAGGGATGTTGACCCCTCCCCCCTTTCCCCAGACCCATGGGGATGCTTCAAGACACTCAGGACACAGAGATGGATGGATGAAAGAATGGAGCGGCAGAGAGAGGTTAAACTGTTAGTGGGCCTGGACAGTTCTGTAGAAACGCAACAAAGGGTTGGAGAGGGCAGGGAGGAGGAAGGGTTAGGGCTGGAGGAAGAGGAGGAGGAGGAGGAGAGGGTGGTCTGGGGCTTCAGCAGCAGCCCCCTCCAGCATGTTGGCCTCCCTGGCTACTGGACAGTGTGGAATTGGTGGTAGGATGCTGGGGTCCAATCTTAATACCATTAGCCTGCATGGAGACAGACACACAAGGATAAACAGCTGTGAGTCAGTTTAACACAACACACACACAACCTGGACAACATAATGTGAGAGTAATGTCAACTTCTGCTTTTGCTTCCTCATGTCCTCAAAGCTTTAAAGAAGAACTTTAACAATAAAATATAAACAAACCTCCTTTCAGTTCAACGTTTTACAAACCAGATCTAAATACTACATGAATTGGTCCTGATCAAGTCTGAAAATACAACAAACACAACCGTTAAGTGCACCAAAGTTTTGTGGTTTGCTGACGTGAAGCCTTCACAGGCTGCTATGCTAAGAAAAGAGCTAAACCTTGAGCTCTACAGGCTTCAGTCAGCTTTTTTAATATTTAAGTTGATGACAGTAGAATTGGAGAAAAAGACTGAACAAGTCAGACTTGTTTGGAAAGATTCTAGATCTTGTCTCTAAAAACAAAGTGAGTGCACAAATTAGGTTTGCAAAGTTGCATCTGAACAAAACACAAGACTTCTGAAACATGGTTCTTATGACTGATTAAAACAAAGTAAGAAATGTTTGAACACAGAACAGCACATTTAATAATAACCATATACAAGAAATGGCAGAATGTAAACAAGTTGTACTTGTACACGCACACACTCTAAATACTAAATTTAAAATGTACTGCAATGCAAAACTCTGAGTGGGCATTAAATTGGAAAACTAATAATAAAAGTGCTTTTTAATATATTTTACCTGTAATATGAAGGTGCTATCGGGCTTCAGGTAAATTGCCCTGCAACTTCCAGCACTTTAAAAAGTGATGTTTATTGTAGTCAGTTGTTTTTATGACTAGATTTTAAAGCAGCACATTTTAACCATCACAGCTACAAACTAAGAAAAGAATCTAATAAACTTAGCACAAAAACTAATGAGATTTGTGTTTGCTTGAATATTTCTTTGCTGGAACAATGCTTCTTGGCAATAAATCTTATACTGGGGGGAAGCCTGTTAAATGGTGCCACATTTGTAAGGAACATGCATGTGTGGGATGAGCAGTAGAGCTCAGTATGTGGGTTGTGCACATGAAAAAATTGCCAAATCTCTGTCAAACAACTTATTTTGCTGTTGCTATTGAATATGTATGCCAATTGTTTTGAGCTTCTGGTACACCCAGGTGCTGCCGATCAGGTGCCTGGTAAAAGATTTATTACCAACAAGCATTGTTACAGCAAATAAATAGTCTAACACAAAAGTCATTGCTATTTGATGTAAGTTAAGATGGGGTTTAGAGAATACAAATTGTAAATATTACATTCATATATAGAACTTGCTGACCTTGCTCTCATTGACCATTAAAAGCATTTTCACACTGCAGGTTTTTTTCCTCTTACACACAATTTAATAATCTCTTCTGGTCAATAAATTCTTATAGCTACACAATGCTAAGCTACTCTGTGCCACAAAAACATTTCATCTGCTGCTTGTTCAGTTTTTATTTATGCAGTCCAAACCTTTTAACCCTTTCTACTTGTGCACCGCTTTCCATTGCTCAAAATTACACTTTCACTCTCGGATTATTGTAACAAAGAAAATGTTAATTACATGATGAGTCAACAGATATAAATGTGTAAATTATAATCACAAACTGAATAAAATACATTAGAAAGACTGTTTTAATGCTTTCATGGTGAGATTAGAAGTGCAGGGTGCCTACGGGGGGTTTCTATTAGATCACATCACAGAAGAAGCAACAGGTGCTGCTGCGCTGCACAAAGGCAAAGGAAACACCAGCAGCAGCACTCAAGGACACTGGGATGAAAAAAAAGGAAAAAAGGAGAAACTGAGAAGGAGGCAGGCAGGTGGGTGGGTGGTAGGGAGACACTTTCATCTCTCTGAGCTGTAGTGTTCACTCAGCCTCTGTGTTTCATCATCTCTGTGTGCCTCAGCCCTGCTCGTGCTCTCCCTCTGTATATATTTATCTCCTCAGAGTAACTCCCCTCCTACACTCAGTAGCAGTGGTGCCTCTGGGAAACACTGTACGCCTTTAAATCACATTTATTGAGCTAAGGCCATGTGTGTGTGTGCGTGTGAGAGAGGATGTGTGTTTTCTCGTAGTGGCTGCCAACATTTCTGCTGGGGCTTCCCTTTCTCTCCCTGAGCCAGTCAGCTGATGTGGTTTGGCTGGCCGGCCTGCCTTCACTTTGTCTGACTGTTACTAATAACAAAAACACCAAGCGGCTGGCTGGATGGCTGGCTCTCCTTCATGCCGTCTGCCCAACACCTGGGTTTGCTGGATGTTAGGGCCAGATGCAGTTGAAACCAGATGTGGATATTCACACTGCTATGGGTGCAACGAGACACAGATTTCACAAGACGGGCAGAGACAAGAGCCGGGGTTCATGAGAACGAGACCAAATTTGAAGAATATTTTTAAAGAAAAGATGTTTTAGCCACAAACTCCACTGACTGGCCTCATTCCTGTCTGATTTCTCGCAGGTTTTATTCAGACCTTAGAACTGTGAGACGTTTGAAGTCAGTGCATCCAGCTCATTTACACACTGAGCTAAAATTAAAAACCCAATAAGGCCAACATTTATACCTAATATTTATTTACAGCGTTATTATTTTTGCTTCATTTTTCGGATTTCTTTTAAGGGCAGCTCAGATGCGTTCACATCTACCTGTGAGGTTTAGTTTTGCATTCATATTAGGGCTGCCATGATTAGTCGACTAGTCAACGACTAATCGACTATTAAAATAGTCGATGACTAATTTAATAATCGATCAGTCGTTTTTATTTTTGTTTTGTTTTTTTACTTTGTTTTTTCCTCCAAACTGCTTTGACACCTTCCACTGCCACATCTGCCTTTCTGTCCTTGACACACATGCACAGTAGTGGTAACTGGGGTAGGCCGTGGACGTCACAAGACATTATACAGACAGGCTCTGGTATCATGGCTACCTGGCAACAGAGCTGAAAAGTGCGGGATCTTTTTAAGAAAATGAAAGAGAAACCTGTGCAATATCTGCAAGGCAGAACTTGTCTTCCACAGCAATTATTTTTAGTTAGCATATAGCTAAAATCTAACCATGGTTATATAATAGCAGCTGCATTCTGGCATGATAAGCTGTATGTTTTATATTCAGTTAAAGTATGATCCGATTAGTCAACTAATTGAAAAAAATAATCAATGATTAGTCGACTATAAAAATTATCGTTTGTGGCAGCCCTAGTTCATATAGGAGTAAATATTATTGGCTGTATGCTGATGCATGCTCACGCAGTCATGTAAGCATCTCAACACACTGTTAAGTCTCTAGCCAGCAGTAAGCTCTGTTTTAGGGTTTGTCAGTTTTCCAGTGCTGGTAATCAGATTGACACTTTAACTTATTGGACAACTTGATTTTCCAGCCCGGACTCCTGCTCCATAAATGGAAATTTGGCTGACGGGATCGCGAACCCACCGACTGGCCTGACAGGCAGCTTACAGGCCGACTGGCTGAGTGAGTGAGTGTTTGTTTTCTTGCTGAATGACCGAGACCTTGTGAGATGTGAGGAATTTATGAGCTGGCAAGACGCCAAGAGAGTGAGACAGAAAAGAGACGGAGTGAAGAGTGTAAGTGGGAAATAGAGCAGAGGATAAGAGGAACGCAGGGAGTTTTGCTTGGCTGGAGCCAAAGGAAGCAGAGAGGAGGGTTTTATTCCCTGCCTCTCTCTTCTGAGGATAGAGCATTATAAACCACACACGCTGCTGGAAACTCACACGGAGGAGAACGAAGGGAAAAGAGAGGAGAACAAAGACTGGAACGGAAAAAAAAAGTGCAGAAAGGTTTAAAGAAGAAGAAAAGAAAACCTAAGAGTTCAGAGTGTCTCACCTCATTGTTGATATCAAACACTCCTTCCTGGATCTTCTCATAGATCTCCTTGGCTGTGTTGATGAAAGCCTGACATGGAGACAGGAAGTGAGAAAGATAAAGATAAAGAACTGATCCATACTTAGCATAGACTCCTATAAATGAGCTAGGTTTATTGCTGTGACAGTGTTTTTCAGAAACCAGTTTCACGTCATTAAAACAGAAAAGAAACAAAAACAGAATTTGACCGTACAGCTGTCTGACCTTTCATTTCTCCATTCTGACTCCTAAAGCAACAACTGGTTACAACAGACTTTAAAAATAACCTTACAGAAACATTAAAACTTGTTATCACCAGAAATACTGTTTCTGGTTTTTATTAGAAGTTGTAAAAAAGACAGAAAGTTTGGATTTCTTTGTTAAATGTTTTGCAAAAGTGTAAACCACAAGTAAAACACACAAAAATCAAGTTAGTGTTGGAACAGGAAATAAAAATTTACAAATAACATCTAAAAAGGGACAAAAAAAAACCATAATGTGATCATGGTCTTGTGAGCAAAAAGCTAACATTGAGCCATCCAGTTCCATGTAAAAAGAAATCAGCAGCTTTGCTTGTATAATTACATAAAAAAATTTAATAAAATGTGAAAAATAGGTGAAAAGTACACATTACATACACCTGCACATTAATGAATGCAAACAAGTAATCTAAATGTAAATACAGCATGAAATGTGTGTAGCTGTATTCATCAGAAAAATAGAGGCTTATTTAATGCTTTCCAGTTAAGATTATTTTAATAAAAGGCGAATCACAAAAGGATCAACACAAGATTTTATACAGTAATACAATAAAAATAATGTTCATTTTCTGTGAAGCTCAAGACATGGTCCTGCCTGTTTGGTATCAGATGAACAAAATTTTTTTTATAGTACAAACATTAAATTAAAACTGTAATTTCTTTTGAAGTGAAGTGTTAGAACCTTTGGGTGGACATTAGTTTCTCAGTTTTTGTATCACTAGCTTGTCAGATTTAGCGAAACAATATATAAAATACAAGTTCAGGAAAACTTGGGCAAACGGCACATTACATTAAGAAAGAGTCAGAACGTGTGTGAAGTTCTACTGGTCTTTAATAAATATTTAAACATTATCCATCATTGGTTTTCAAACTATAACATTCTAGTACAAACATGGACTGCTTCAACTCGTTTCAGACACAAACACCACTTAAAGCTCGTCAAGGTTAATTCTCTTTTGAGAAGTCGCCCAGGTATACTAAAGTCTCAAAAATATTCTTTTGGAGGGGTTTTAGAGTACACTGCTAAAATGCTGTTTTGATTAGTTTTTAAGAGCTTAAGATGTTCACAGTTTTATGTTGTAGAACTCCTGAAAATACTATTTAAGCTTTATTAGGGTTCTTAGAAGGTAATGTGACAAATCGACTGGAGACTGTTAGAGAATATCATTGATTTCAAAAGAATCACAATAAATATCTAAACACCATCTGTTTTTCTTCTTTATACAGTTTTATAACAATGAAAAGGAGAAAAGACGATTAAATAAAGTGGAATTAGGGTCCTCGAGTGGCTGACCTATGACTATAGTATTGATGTTTTTGTCTCCAGACAGACTTACAGGTTGTGTTTGAAAGAGCTAAACTGAGGAGCAACGATTGGAATAAAGAATTTGACATCATCCAACACTCTGAAATCTGTGGACCAACAAGTACTTTTCAGAACACATACATAAGCAATTATATGCAAATATAAGATTTCTCCACCCAAGAAAACGTGTTCAGAAGCTGAAAATATGTCCTGAACTTCTGTCTGACACCCTGTCAAAAATAGACTGAGCCCAGGGGTGCTCTCTAGTGCACTGTCCTGTTCACTTCTGTCCTCTTTCTTTTCCTCTACACATCACTGCACCCTTCACTTCTTTCTTTTTCTTAAACTTAGCTGATGGATTTTAAGATATTTGTAGAGATGAACAGAGGAAGGAAAACCGAGGGATGAAGAAGAGAAAAGGAACATGAGAAGCAGAGGAAAAACATGGAAAGAAAAATACTACGGAGTAGCATCAAAACAAATGGAGAGAAATGGAAAGAACATTAAACTAAAACACAAAAAAATATGGTAAAATAAAACAAGCAGTGAGCAGGAGTGGAAGATAAGATTCCAGTGATGAGACGATGAAAACATGCTTACAGAATCTCTCTGTCTGTCTCTAAAGACCATCCCATCAACCCCAGTGTCCACCCACAGACCCTGACGACAAACCCTGTACACCGATTGGCTGCTGGATGTCGCTGAGGGAAGGTGGGGTGGAGGTTATGAATATGTATGAACTTTAACTGGTTGATATACTGCTAGAAGACGGAAGGGAGATGATGGGGGAAGGAGAGAGGAAGAAATGAATGGAAGAGGGCAGGAAGACATTTTGGACTGGGGGGAGAGATGATGAGTGGAAGGGGGAGGCGGAGGAGGAGACGTAAAGAGCAAATGATGGACGTCAAGGGATGAGGAGGGATGGAGTGAGAAGAGATGAAGGGAAGGGAGGAGACGAGTGGTATCAGGAGGATTCAGAGGACACTAATGAGACAAATTAATCATACGACACACACATACACACACCCCTCCCCCTCATCTTAACCCTAAAAAAAGTGCTCTTCAACAGTGGTGTGTGTCTAAATGTTTGCAAGATATAGGCTAGGCAAGAAAAGGTTGGGGTTTTAAAAAAAAATTACAAATCTATGTAAACACACACACACACACACACACACACACACACACACNCACACACACACACACACACACACACACACACACACACACACACACACACACACACACACACACACACACACACACGCGTGAGTACAGTGCCTTTGGGCGGCATGCTGTGCTGTGTAGGATGAGATTATTTATGTGATTGGATAAGTGAGAACGGGGTCCCAGAGGACCATACCGCGCATTCATTGCAACAACAGCAGGGGTGTGCCGATGTGTGGGGGCGGAGCCCGGCTCTTCAGCGCGCTCGCTGCGGTTCATGGTGCTAATGTGAACCTGGCAAGGTAGGGCTCCGTCACTGTCATCCAAGGTGCAACACCTCAACAAGGAGATTTACTACAAGTGTAACAAACCTACCGGAGAAACACCTCAGGCTGCGCCGTTTTCTAATTATTCAGGACAGGCTTTTTTTTTTACTGGAACTATTAAGACAGGTAGGATGAAGATGGATTTAATACTCTGGATAGCTGTGAGAAATCAGACACATAAAAAGGAACTGAATGAACTAAAGCACATATTTGCCTACAAAATAAAGGTTTTGAAACATTACAGAATTTTTTAAGTTAAGTTGTGAATGTTTACTTTCAGATGGTTCAGAGTGTCCTTGGGATCCCAGAGACACCTCATCCATGTGACCCGGCCGTATGTTTTATGCATGAGGTGTGCAACAGAGTCACGATGGGATCTCAGTGTAGATATTTTATAGAACGCTGACACTGGTATTCTAACATTGTCAAAATAAAACATGCTAATATGCTAAGAGCTTGATGTTTAATATCAGCACAATAAGGTTGCATTAAATATGGAAACTTTATTGTAAATGCAGCATTGTTGTGCATCATATTAAAACTGCAATGAATCACAGACTCAAACTGTGTGCCAGTAATATGTTTGGTAATATGGATGTCATTGAAGTCTTGTGAGCATTGTGTGATATCATCACCATATTCAACAATTATATTAATCACTAATTTGATGCAGCCATACATTTAGTTATGGATGCAATCATTTTACTAAAACATATAAAGTTGGCCTGAAGAAAAAAAATCTCAATTTTCTAATGATGTTCTCTACAGCAGCGGTTCCCAAAGTTGGGGTTGGGACCCAAAGTGGGGTCCTGAAACATCAAGGTGGGGTCCTGAAAATATTTTCTAAATTAATTACATTTTTGCCTTAGTTGCCTAAAATGTATAAATGTAGAATAATAAATACTGTTACTATGCCCATGTTTAGTTGACCTGATACAAATGTTTATCATCCAAAAATAGTTGTGGGCACAGGTCTCTGCTACTGTTATTTTGTGGGTCAAAAGCTGAAAAGTTTGGGAACCGCTGCACTTCAGAAATCAATTTAAAAGGGCAATAAAATAATTGGTGATGTAATATTTTCCCTTTAATTATTACAAATACACAAAATAAGTATAAATAAATATTTATATTTGTGTAGCCTTTGTTTTTAGGGCTATTAACAAAGTTTGTGTACTCAGACCAGTAATATTTGGGGTCACAAGTTTTTGCAATGAATATTTTGTGGGTCAGAAGATAAAAAGTTTGGGAACCACTGCTCTACAGCACCGATGTAATGAACCAAACATCTGAATAAACTAAGAGCCAAAATCAAATCTTGCCATCCATAAATCATCACAATCCTTAGAGGCATTTTGTTATTTAAATACGTATTTTATGACTAAACCAAAGAAGTCTTTCTACTCTTGCTAATGTTTGAATTCACACTGCAGGTCTTGATGATCAATTCCATTTTTTTTTTGTTTTTGCTCTGATCTGATTTTCGGCATAGTCATTCATGTCATGTTCAGACCGACATAAAAAAATCTGATATCTGTTGATTATTGGCAAAAAATCAATAATAAAAATCATTTGTGACACTTTTGCCTGCAGTGTGAATGTAGCGTGTTTCAGATAAATAACGTTCAAATTCAAACAGGCAGCACCAACAACTGCGGTCAAACAGATGATGGCTGTGAAATTCAGCTGTAACTGGAGATGTATTTGTCTTTGCCAGTTAAAAAAAAAGATTTTTTTTGCATTTGTGTTGACCTGCAAGCAGTGGCCTAGACAAGTGGTGTTTACTGTAGTTTGAATCTCAGGTTTAGGTAAGCTGTTAGCTTTAATCAAATCATCAAGGCATCAAATCAAATCCTAGTTGTTAGTGTGTGTGTGTGTGTGTGTGTGTGTGTGTGTGTGAGAGAGAGAGAGATTACCTCCTCTACATTAGAGGCAGTCTTGGCAGAGGTCTCCATAAATATGAGGCCATGTTCTCTTGCAAACGCTTCACCTTCCTCTTTCTTCACCTCTCTCCTCGACTCCAAGTCACTGAAACAAACACAGACACACAAACGGACAATTTAGGAAAATAACATGACCAAGTAAATTAGAACACACACCCCAATCATAATCACACGTTTAAGACTTATGGGTAAGAATGGTGACATTTTAGTAACTTAACATTTAACAATTAGAGGTAACAGTTTGATTTTCAAGATTTTGTTTTGCTTAATGTGTGTATTCGCCACAACAACACAATATAGTGTGTCTACTGGTTTGGTTATAAAACCTCAGGTACAGAATGAGTCATGTGACGCAAAAAGCAGAAGTACTACTATCAATTCAACCAAATATAAACATTTAATCCAATAAATGCCATACTGTTTATTCCAAAACTGTTTAGTGAGAACAGTATTTGAACAAATCCTGTATTTACAGTGGGATGCAAAGGTTTGGGCACCCTTGCTAATTTTCCTGATTTACCTTTATAAATCATTGATCGTTTGGATAAAAAGAACTCAGTAAAATATATCAAATAGGGGACAAACACAGTGGTATTTGAGAAGTGAAATGAAGTTTATATGATTTACAGAAAGTGTGCAATAAATGGTTAAACAAAATTAGGCAGGTGCATAAATTTGGGCACCAAAAAAAACCCTTAACTCAATATTTAGTAGCTCCTCCTTTCACAGAAATAACATCCTCTAAACACTTCCTACAGCTTCTAATGAGAGTCTGGATTGTGGCTGAAGGTATTTTAGACCATTTTTCTTTACAAAACATCTCTAGTTCATTCAGGTTTGATGGTTTCCAAGCATGAACAGCTCTCTTTAAGTGACACCACAGATTTTCAATAATATTCAGGTCYGGGGACTGAGATGGCCATTCCAGAACGTTGTACTTGTTCCTCTGCATGAATGTCTTAGTAGATTTTGAGCAGTGTTTAGGGTGGTTGTCTTGTTGGAAGATCCAGCCCTGGCTTCAGCAGCTTCAGCTTTGTCACTGATTCCTGGACATTGGTCTCCAGAATCTGCTGATATTGGTTGGAATCCATGCGTCCCTCAATTTTAACAAGATTCCCAGTCCCTGTACTGGTCACACAGCCACACAGCATGATGGAACCACCACCACACTTTACTGTAGGTAGCAGGTGTTTTTCTTGGAGTGCTGTGTTCTTTTTCCTCCATGCATAACGACTCTTGTTCTGCCCAAATAACTCTATTTTAGTTTCATCAGTCCACAGCACCTTGTTCCAAAATGAAGCTGGCTTGTCCAAATGTGCTTTAGCATATCTCAAGCAGCTCTGTTTGTGATGTGGGAGTAGAAAAGGCTTCCTCTGCATCACTCTCCCATACAGCATCTCCTTGTGTAAAGTGTGCTGAATAGTTGAACGATGCACAGTGACTCCATCAGCAGCAAGATGATGCTGTAGGTCTTTGGTGCTTGTCTGTGGGTTGACTCTGACTGTTCTCAACATCCTTCGCTTCTGTTTATTGGAGATTTGTCTTGGTCTGCCACTTCCAGCCTTGACTTGAACTGTGCCTGTGGTCTTCCATTTTCTCACAATGTTTCTCACAGTGGAGACTGAAAGCTGAAATCTCTGAGATAGCTTTCTGTATCCTTCCCCTAAACCATGATGGTGAACAATCTTTGTTTTCAGCTCATTTGAAAGTTGTTTTCAGACTCCCATGCTGTGACTCTTCAGAGAAGATGCAAAGAAGAGAAAAACTTACAATTGACCCCCTTAAATACCCTTTCTCATAATTGGAGTCACCTGTGTATGGAGGTCAAGGGTCACTGAACTTACCAAACCAAATTTGAGTTCCAATAATTAATTCTAAAGGTTCTGAAATCAATAAAACGGCAATGGTGCCCAAATTTATGCACCTGCCTAATTTTGTTTAACCAATTATTGCACACTTTCTGTAAATCATAAACTTAATTTCACTTCTCAAATATCACTGTGTTTGTCCCCTATATGATATATTTAACTGATATTTTTTATCCATACAATCAATGATTTATAAAAGGTAAATCAGGAAAATTAACAAGGCTGCCCAAACTTTCGCACCCCACTGTACCAAGTTATTGTTTTACACTACAGCCATATAAACCACAGAAATGGCTGCCCTACATTGTTGATGGTCCAGTCCTATGTAGGCCAGAATGTACCCATCACTGAGGAGGGAAAAAAAGTTACCTCTTGTTGCCAATGAGCATGATGACCATATTGGAGTTGGAATGTTGGCGGGCGTCCTCTAACCAGGTCGTCAAGTGGTTGAAGGTGTCCCTTCTGTTGAAACGAGCACAGATTTCTGGTTTCAGTCTGCGTGCACTTTGAAACTAGAAGCATCACAGATCAACCATCTGCTGTTACACACAAACCAACATGATGTTAGAGATTTCACTTTCTCTTGAAAAGTGGTGAAAGATGCACGCTACTTCCTCTTGCAATGTTCGAAACCAACAACAGACTTAAAAAAAACTACTTTCTTCCTGTGTAGATCTTAACAGAATTGTAGGTCACCGTTTGTCTTTTTTATATTACTGGCCTTCAATAAACATTGCTTTGTTTTGTAAATACCTCAAATATATAGTGTACTAACCAGGTTCCTTATGTAGTTGTAGGTTATAACCAAATATTAGGGAGTGTGCATAGCCATATTAGTTATTCTTTACATTTCTTATCAAAATACCAAGCTTCAATGGTGGTCATGTTAGACCTCAAAAGTGATGCGGGCAGGTTTTCATAACAAGCTGATATTATCTGTGTTTGTGACAGACTTTTAAATGTGTTTTTCCTCTCATAAAGCTAAAGCTGACAAACAAAATAAAAAAAATTTCAAAAAACATTTTAAATCCCAAACGCCATCGGACATAAATAAACAGAACAATCGAATTACAGAACCTCATCAAGCAACTCGTCACATGGCTTCATTCATGCTTTTAGATAAGAAGCTTTAGATGTTTGCAGGCTAAATATCATCTAGATGAGGAGTAGCAGCTAGTTCAGACATGTCTGTAGTAACAGCAGGGGGGAGAGAACGCAGTGCTAACAGATCTGAGATATTCCAGTATACATGTAGGAAGGTTTTACAAAAAAAAAAAAAAAAAAAAAAAACTTCAGAAGGGACCGTTCTTCTGCCACGATGGCAGTTTTTACCCAATAGTTTAAAAGTCTTTTGTAAAAGTTTCCACTTTTTTAAACCTCCCTTCTTCTTGTTGATTTGTTAAAAGACAAAATAGAAGAATTAAATTCTGTATTTGTCAGATGATCACAACATAACGTAACTTTAAAATCGTAAAAGTACAATCAAAACTCATATAGGGCCTAGTTTTGAAAGAATGTGTACATAATTATAAATATTATAAGTGATAGTATGATTGGCTTGGTTACCTTGTAATGTCATAGACTAGCAGTGCGCCTGCTGCTCCTCTGTAGTAAGACCTGGTGATGGACCGGAAAGACTCCTGGCCAGCCTGTTATGACGAATAATAGAAAAAAACTGAAACCTAAATAATTCAAACGTCTACAGACGTGCAAATGGTAGGTTTGTCCTCAGAGCTGAGGATGGACTCAGGCTCCACCATCTCAGGCTTTATCTACTTCAGTCCTGTTTTGGAGTCCAGCTCCAGGTTTTTAGTTACCGAGAAGAGGACAGAGCAAAGCCTGTAACTGGATACACAGAGTTCTCTCTTTCACTCTCCATCTATCCATCACAGAAGCCTTACTTTCTCTCTGCTAAAACCTCCCAGTTTCTCAATTTATGCTAAACAAAGAAGGTCAAATTAGCTGCAGTGTTGCAGTATGCAAATTAGACATGTAGCATTTATGTCATACTTGACAGTCCATCCAGCTCAGCAGGTCACCTTGTACCTTCACTCCCCCCCCCCCCTTCCATTATTATCCTCTCATTGTCTCACCTTTCCTTTGTCTTCCTTCCATCACTCATCTTTTATTCCCTCCCTATCAATCTCCCCTCTTTCCATCATGGCTTTCACCATCCAGCACTTTTTTTTTTACCACCCCCTCCCCAACACAATGTCTATTCATTTTCTGTCTCCATCCAGTGTACATTAACAATGTCGTCTGTGTTCGTCCGGGCCGAAGCAGAAAACAAAACGGCACTTCATCCTAGCAGCTGCAAATCCTGCACAGCTCTGACCTCATCTGAAAAAAACAGCCAGCCAGACAGACGCACAAGCAGGAACACAGTAAGTCAATGAATCATTCAGCAAGTCAGAGAAGCAGGCAGCTAGAGTTTGTTGCTCAGAAACTCAGTACAGAGGCGATGGACTTGGCCTTTACGGTTTTACAAAACTCAGACGCACAGCTAGGTTCGGTTAGTCGGTCAGAAACCATTTCAGAAAATGAATTGGAGAAGCAAACACCACGTTAGCTAGTCACTGAGCAGCCAGTAAGTAATTCAGAGAGCAGTCAACCAGCCTGCAACACTATTAGTGAATAAATGATAAATAAGGGTGAAAGAAAGGGAACGCTGTGTCTGTCTGCCATCTGGCCAACAGGCTTGTGCACAGAAACACACACATACACACACTTATTCATATGGCAAGTGCAGCCCACACAATGATCCAAATGGTTTCTCTGTTGGTTGCTTTTTGGCGACAGTGTTTGACTGCGCAGAATCCCAGAAAGAAACAACGGCCACTCAGTCTGACAGGCTTTCATTCTGAACATAATTATCCGACACCTGGACAACCAGGTGAACAGAGTCAGTTATTTAGTGGGAAATAAAAACAGGCAGCAGACAGACACGTGAAAACCTGCACAGATAATGTTGCAGGCCTTTATGCTCAGCTACTTTTCCTGGAACTGTTATTTTACATGGAGCTCTAACACCACCTGCTGGTCAGCTGCAGGTACTGGCCATCCAACAAATAATGTTTTTTTTTTCTCTGAAACTATCGTATTTACTTGCACGCAGTGTGTCAGTGTGAAAAAGTTCAGGAAATTTACAGAAGGACCTTAAAGCAACGAACATCTTTTGGACAGGAAGCATTAATAAACAAAAATTAAAACTGCAACTCTTAACAATACAAAAATGTTGTGCCTATAAAATTAAACTTAATTTTTCATTGACCCATAAATTACTGGACAAAAAGGTCCTTCATTTAACTTACAATGACTGGAGGGCTGAAGCTGATCAGGACCCACGCAGTGTTTTAACATGGTTTATCACTTGGTTTTAATGTTGCTGGTTTGGTTGCAGTTTGAGGCCAATGGGATGGAAAGATCTGGTAAAAATTTCCAACCACTAATCTGCTCAAGTTCAGAATAACCAAAAAAGCAGAGCTTGACTAACACTTGATGGTAAATTTATTAGATAACCATGGTTCTTGTTCACCCTCAGGAGGGGTCATGGGAGTTTGCCCATCCAGTCTACAGGTGTTTTGTGGACTTGGAGAAGGCATTGGACGGTGTTCCTCGAGGTACACTGTGAGCAGCCGAGTGTGAAGCAGCTGGGATGAGGATCAGCACCTTCAAATCTGAGTGGATTGCTCTCTCCGGGTTGGAGGTGAAGTTCTGCCTCAAGTGGAGGAGTTCAAGAACCTTGGAGTATTGTTCACATGGAGCGGGAGATTGACAGACAGATCGGTGCAGCTTCTGCAGTTTTGCAAACTCTGTACCAGTCTGTTATGGCGAAGAGGGAGCTGAGCTGTAAGGCAAAACTCACTGTTTAACGGTCAGTCTATGTTTCTACCCCCACCTATGGCCACGAAGGTCAGGTAGTGACCAAAAGAACAAGATCGCGAGTACAGGTGGTCAAAATGTATTTTCTCCACTGGGTAGCTGGACTCACCTTTCAATTATATTTAACTAAAAAAGGGCTATGGTTTACCTCTCTAATTAATGCTTGTTGGTTGTTTTACAGTTCTCCATCTGCAGCAACAGCTAAAGAGAATGGTTCTTAAAAACAAAAACAACAACAAAAAAAAAAACATTTAATATTTTATTTACCGTGTCCCAGATCTGCAGTTTGATCTGTTTGCCATCTATAGTGATCATCCTTGCTCCAAACTCCACACCTGAACAGACAAAAACAAATTAAAAATGGGAATAATTAGGTACTGAATAATTTATGAGTTCAGCTAATAGTAAGCTGAGACTTGAGTGTCATAAGAACAAACAAAAGGAAAAAAAAGGAGATAAACATCTTTTAACTCTTCCACTGCACGTACAAGTATAATTATGAGTTATTGCAGTACACAGAATTTACATAGGCTTGAAAATGTTAATTTATTGAATATAAAATTAAACAGATATTAAGTAACTTCTTAATCCTAACTGTCAATGACTTTGCTTCCACCCTTCATATTAAAACATTCAAATCTGTTAAGAAGCACAGTAGTAATTCTGAGGTTCCTGCAGTGAGGTTCACTGTGGATCCTAAACACCAAGTGGAAGGATGATGTCAAGAAAAAAATAAAAATAAAATAAAACTAGAACTGCAAAGCAGTTATGACCGGGGTCCAAGCCCTTTTATGCATGTCAGCCTTTGTCATGTTGTTTGTAGCATATTGTTGATCTTGTGCACAACAGAATTTTAGTTTTATGGGTAATATTAACAATGTGTGGTTCAGGCTGTAGTGTAATAAAGTTCATGTCAGTTGGTACTACTGCTTAAGAGATATAAACATAATGCATTTCTGGCGCCCCCTATAGTTTGGTTGATTTGAAACTTTGAATACTTGCTCAGAAACAATAATTGGATACTTGACATGAGTTTGATGTTGATATGTGTTAACATACATAAATGACTGTCATTTTTGTTAATGCTAACAAGCTAGCTTTGCATAAAAATGAATATAACTTGATCAGGCAAAAACCAAACAACTTTTCCTGAACATCGTTTGAAGAGACCCTATTCTAGGTGCTACTTGGGAAGTTTCATGGTTAATGGAATTGTGCCTTTGGAGGAGATAATTTTTAAAGTTTTGCCATATTATGCCAATTTGCATAAATAACATTACATTTTTTAAACAAACATATATTTTATCAAAAATACTGTACAGATGAACAATTAAGGGGCCACAATAATTTTAATAATTGGGCTAAGTATACAGGAGTTACAGATCAAAATGTTTCACACATCGTCTTAGCACCACCTATTGGTGGACTCATGCAAATTTTTAGTATTAGATAGAGGTTTGTGTGCTTTATTTTTGCTGTGAAAAACTTGTCAAAATCTCTGACGATTTAGGCTCCATAAATGATTATATGAAAATTTTCATTTATGAAAGTATAGGCCACGCCCACTTTATTTGTKCATAATGATCTTGCTAATTTAGGTTAAAATCAAGGGTCTGTAGGTCCTTGAAAAATTTCATGAATATCCGATAAGCCATTGTTGCGTGAAAATGTTTTGTGGTTTATAGCGCCCCCTATGCCTCAATAATAGTAAAATTTGGTGCCCCAACTCAGAACAGACTCCTGTACTGCACATACGATTTTCATCTTATTATATACTACTATTTTGAAGATATAGCAAAATTTCTGTTTAGCTAGCTTGCCTAAGCTATTTGCCTAGGCATAACTCAAGCATTTTAATATTTTTACACTTGTCCTTGAAGACTATTTAGGATGGTGAGTTTCGTGGCGATCAGACTTTAAATCTTAAAAACAAATCCAAAAGAAGTTTTTGCAAATTTTGCGTTGTAGAAAAAAAAAAGTTTAGGCGGAAATGGGCGTGCCCTATTCCTTGTGACTCAGTGGTGTCCAGGGATTATGCGGCTATAAGCCAAAAATTTTAGTGTCTTACGGTTTAGAATCCAGCAAACCAAATGCAAAGACCTTGATTACGGCGCCCCCTATAGGTTGACATGTCTGATTATTTTTCTCCTCCGTACCCGTAACCCTATTCAACTATCCTGTTAAAAACTTCTTCATAGTCCTTGCGGTTTGGGCTCCAGTATGAGTTTTTCGGCAGAAAAATAATAATAATAATAATAATAATAATAATAAAAAACGGAACAGATACAATAGGGTTCCATGCTCCGCTGGAGACATGGAAACGCTGCTGCTTTGCAGCTGCGTTACCCTGCTCCCTCGGGCTTGGACCCCTAAAAAATCAACTTAGTGTATTTTTTCACAATTTTTCAAGTAGACAAAAACAATAGTCAAACAATTTTACTGACTGACAAAATACTGACTGTTAAGGCTGTTTTGGTCTAAATATGTTCTTGTTTATTTGGCTTATTGGCAGCGTTAGCACACTCAAACCAGTTTAAGTCCAGATCACTGGTCACTTCTACAATTATTTTGTTGGTTAGAAGTAAGGCTGGGCGATTATTTGATCACGATTATTGATTGAGAAAAAATTCAGGTTGATCACGGTGATCAGCTGTGAGCCTCTTACTCGATCAAACATGGCGGAAATGTGTGCGACAACAGCCAGTCAGAATCCACCTTCTCCTGCTCCATTTCCGTTTATAAGTTGTTAATGAAACGCGGACGAAATCACAGCATTAACTAAACAAAATGTAAGCCAGTATAAAACACTGAATCTCACAGAGTTCGCTTATTTGGGCGAGTTTCTGAGGTATTTTGGCCGCTGTCGCTTCCTGTACCTGCTGTTAGCAGCTAACAGACACACAGGGTGAGCTCTGAGCTGCCCTCCCGAGGGAGGAGGGAAAAAGAAAAGAGAACCACGATGCGCGTCTCGTTAAAACAAAAACGTTCTCCAAAAATATGAAGCGGTCTTAGGGTAACGTTTAGGACAGAACAATGTCCCAGCGGTTCTTCATTTATCTGGAGAAGAACTATTCTGTAAGTTTTATCGGCACAGGATTGGCTGGACGCGACGTGAAGACCACTTCCTGTCTGAGTCTCATCACAAACAGCAGCTGAGAGATGAAGCAAACTCCTGAACAAAAGTAATGAGCTTCAGTCCTATCCAGTTGGCTAATGTGCACAAATTGTTGCTGTTTGTAGGGTTTATGTTTATGACATATTTAATATGAAATTCAATTCTAAAACTTTAATTTTACAAAAGGGTAACTTTATTAATGTGAGATTCTTTGATTTCATGTTCTATTGAACTACAGCTATTTGTTATATTAGTGAAAGTGAAATTACAGCCATTATTTTTTTTGTAGCTATTTATTTGTTAAATTATTTTTCAGTCACTTTTTAGGTTAACAAAAAAATTGTGATATTAATCATGATCGGATATGAAAAAATTAATCATGATCTTTTTTTTTTTAGTTTTACTATATCACCCAGCCCTAGTTAGAAGATGAAAAGTTTGAGTGTGACAACTCTTCAAACACAATCCTTTGTACAGTGCTTTCATGTTACACCCACTTTATGTTAGATAAATACGGTGATTGACCAAACCCTACACCGGCTGTCTGAAAATCTGTTTGAACAGGAGGCCAGAAGCTTTCTGCCACAGCAGAGGAAACATGAGCCGTGGTCCCTGGGCTTATATCATACCTTATTATATGTGATGCATTGATACAGCTACTATACAAAGTGCTAAGACTTCATTTATAGAGCGTCCATTTGCAGTACAGATCAGGAAAAGGTTAAGCAAGACAAAAATAGGGGTTAAGTTTCATCAGTTGTATATTTCTTTTAACTGTGTTCATGACTCTATAACATCCTGGTGGTGTCTGGTTAGTTGACTGTGACTTGATCAGTCTGAATGTCAGCGAGATCACTAAAACAAGTTCCAAAGCATCAGTTCAGTCAATAATAATCTGTCATTGATACTGAACGTACAGTTAATTAAGTTCACCTCGTCAGCCTCATGGCAACAACACAACTTGTGCGTTCGTGTGTGTAGTTTGTGATTGTTAAATTATTGTGACATTTAACATCTAACTAAATAGCTTTATTGATGGTAATGGAGGATGTGGACTCTTACCGATAGTGAGGTCGTGAACTGGCTGAAACCTCTTGTCTGTGAACTGTAGTAATAGACATGATTTTCCCACACCTGAAAAGAAAAATAATGGGTTTTCGCTGAGACAAAGCTAGGAGAGTTAAACAAATAAAGAACGCCAAATGTTTTAATAAAATCATTTACATTTACAAGTTTCACACACAGAGCAGAGACACTTTGCCGCTTGTAGGTGGGATGCTCAGCAGGGAGTCACATATGTACAGCAGGATTTATTGTCTCGTGAATACAACACATGCATATTTAATATGGGAACTTGGAAATCAGCATCCGGTTCAAGCGGACCCAGCAGGGAGCTTACACTCGTTTTCCAGCACAGACTCAGCTAACTAACTGTTGGTGAGCTAAATGACCAGCTGGCTACTTTCTAAGTGTGATGGCACAATTTTTTCCCCCTCACCAAAAGGGCACTAATGAATCTGCTTGTGATTAACACAACTACGCACATGACTGCAGCTTTGAATGTTGACATCTGCCACAGATACACAAGAACTTAAAACAGACCTAAACTACAAGTCTTTAAATCATGAAGAAAAGGAAGTTCTGCGGATCATCACAATTATACAACACTTGAAAACACAAGAAAGCAAAGGAAGTTATTTTCAATGTAACAATAATATTGCAGATGACTGAACTGCAATAAATCTTAGCTCATTATGTATTTCAAGCACCACGCCTTCATGTTATACATGTTAAAAATATATTTGGTCAACCTAACATGGCAAAAAATAAGAAGAGAAATTGATTAGTGGAGAAAATGTGGGTTTTATTGCAAATATGGTCATGACAATATTAAAAGAACAATATTGCACGTTGCATGTTGTTCTAACGCTGTGAAGCCAGATTTGTTAGCAAATGTGTGTCATATTGTCAGAGGCCATCAGATAAGAACAAAGTGAGTTATTTCCTTCAACACTCTCAGGTGTCACTATTACTAAAAGATTTCAAAACCAAAGTGAACAAATCTGTGCGAGTATTCAGTGTTCTTCATAACAAAAATCATTACATCATACATATGGGAATAGACTTACGTAGCAACAGACTTTCTTTAAACAAACAAATCTATTTGGATTTATGCATGAAAGAATGGAAGCGTGTCGATGTTCAACTTCTCCCTTTTAAATTTACAACCCTGAGACTAACCTGTTGTTGTGGGACAGAATGAGACAAGATGCTGGTTAACAAAGCAAAGTTGACCATCTATAAGTACGCTCACATGTGTTTGTGTGAAACGTTGCACGGAAGATGAGAGGAAGTGAGGAGGTGGTGAGAAGGAGAGACAAGGAAGTGACAGGAAAGGACACGGAGCTCCTCCTCAGCGGTTTCCAAGGCTCCCCGCTGCCAGGCCGTGGCGTTGCTAGGCAGGGGCCGTGTGATGAGGACAATAAAAGATGGAGGGATCTACAGGAGAGAAGCCAAATAAAGACGCAATAATCACGCCATCATCAGCTCCATCATACTGAACTGTGGGGTCAGTGGACACCTGCGTATTTCTCTACTAAAACGAGACAGCACTGAAAACGTTAATGTATACTGTGTAACTTGGTAGGTTTTTCCAATTAGCTAATCACATCACAATCAATCAGCATTTCTGTCCAAGAGGTAACAGCATGGTGCTACAGAGGAAGAGAAAACTCTACAGCCGCCTATAATCAAAGCCTGTTAGGTTTTCAGCGTGAGAGAGGGTATAATTATGGTTGTAATTAGTGGAGAACTATGTAATGTTTCTGTAAAGGCCCTTTCTTTCAGCTTCTAACCCTCCTAGTGTTTATCAGAAAACAAGACAATAACCTGCATCTGCTTGTAACCTTAATATGAGGAGGAAAATCATGACTGGATATTTTATCCTCTCACACATGATTCACAGCAGGAGGCTTTCTAAAGACATCATCAGAGGTACAGGACAGGTTGAATAACTGGGAGACAAAGTTATAGAGGCCAGATTGAGACGGTTTGGACACGTGCAGAGGAGGGACGGTGAATATATTGATAGAGGGATGTTAGAGATGCTGCTGCCAGGGATAAGAGTAGGGATGCACGATATATCAGCATTAATATTGGTATCTGTCCAATGTGTAAAACTGGGCTGATATTAACATTTGATATTGATTTTACACTTTTTATCTTTGTGTTTCTGTTTTGGGAGGGGAGATGGTTGGTTGAGCAGCATCTGTTTGATCATGATAGTGATATTGATGCTGCGTGGTCAGGAATAACTAAAGTAGAGAGTCATGTCAGAGGTCTGGTTGTTTATTTACTGTATCAAAAAAAGACCCAAGTGTGTTTGTGTGTATATGTATAATATAATTTGTGTGTTTGTGTAATATCAGTAAACATTGGATATCGGCCATAACAGCAATAAATATATCGATATCAGCTGAAATTTTCACATCGGTGCATCCCTACTAAAGAGGAGAAAGATGGATGGTGTTAGAAAGGACAGAGGACAGAGTGAGGTGGAGGAGGATGAGTCGCTATGGCAAGTCCTGAAAAGGGAACAGCCCAAAAGAAAAAGAAGTCGTCGTCGTCATCAACATACCTGGAAATACAAGTGTGTGTGTCTACATCGTGCAAGAGGTAGAACATGATGCAAAGACTTATGCGGAAATTTTTCTTTGATTGCGCTCCTAAATGTCTCCCCTCTGGAAGATGTCCACAACAGTTTACAACTTCAAGCTTGAACGAGTAAAAAAAACAACAACAACAACTTAAGTCACTGAGTAACACCAGCTTGACTCGATAGATGTTAACAAAAAAAAAAAAAACATCTGCCCAAAGAAAGTGAAAGATTTAAATGTTGCTGAGTCAGGAAAACTTGAATTTCAGATTGTTTGGTGTGGCTGATCCACAGCTTAGTTTATTACACACAAGGACACCTGGTTAATGTGGTTTTCCAGTTTCTGAAAGCTGGCTGCTGTCATAGCAACCAGTCCTTCATCACCAAGGTCCTTACGAGATGTCTTAGCAAACTAAATATAAGATATCAGGGCTTTACTTATACGTCCACCAATTTAATCCTATTTTTGAATCATATTTCAGGAAGAATGCAGACATGTTCAAATCAAATCAAAAATCAATTGAAAAAGTAAAGGAACATAAAACTTAAACTGGCATCAAATGAGAAGAGATATGTTTGTTTTTCACAGGCCTGTGTGCTGCTCTGCTCACTTACAGCAGTAACCTGAAGCTTAATGAGGTCTGTATCACAATCCCTGCTGACGAGTTCAGCATGACGCCGGTCCACACGACCTGTCCTCACACCTTTATTAATGTGTCTTTAGGMATGGCTATTTATGATCATACTTTAGTTATTAATTGTCCAATTACTTGTCAGGTCATTAATGCTAAAGGTCAAAAAGTTCAAGTTTTAAAACAAATGCTGGAGATTCCTGTGGTCTAAGGGTCAAATTGTACTAAGTAAGTGACTTGCTTCATGTTGCGTACAATAAGAACAATTTCTAATACATTCATTGGATTATCAGCTCTTACATGTTTATTAGAAACAGTGGGAACCACACTTATGACTCAGTTTAATTTGGTTATGATCACTGTAATAATGTTCTTCAGAAACTGAAGGGCCTAGCTAAGCTGAATTATAAATCCAAATGAAAAAAGAAACCCAAACAGGCTTTAACAAAAACTCTGCTATGGTTTCTGTTTATTTTTAGCAGCAATAATTTCTGTTTAATATATTTGTTTAAGCCTAACCACCTCGTTTTCCTCCCACACTGGTTTATCAAGTGCTAAGTGAATGTTTACACAAACACACAAACTCCACAACTGATCCAGGACCGATACAAAAAGGTTTTGGTGACCGAATCATGCATTTATATTACTAGCTCAAAACCAACGTTCTACAGTATTTCTTAAAACTGAATGGAGCTGAAGAAAAAAAAATGTCAAGAGTGAATTTAACATCTGCAGAAACCATTTCACAGAAGACTATTTTTGAACATAGCCGAGGCTATAATTTTCTGTTTGGATCCTGCGTCTCTGAACAGACTGGCTGGAGGCCTCAAGTCCAGTTAAGAAGATATTTACTACAATATATTTTATACATAAAACAGTTCAACCAAAAGTCATTTTTGTTTCTGTTTTGCCTTTAAATAGAGACTGAACTAGTGTAAGGATTGTTTTAGGACTTTGACAATAAGAGAATATGAGAATTTAAATCAATGCCCAGTACGCCCAGAACACCAAGCTGGTTTACTCAGTAGGCTGCTTAGGAATGTAATATTTAGAAAATACCAGTGGCATATTGACAACCTAACATATTCAATTACTCTCAGAAGATAAAATAAAATTTAGCTACATTTATAAAGATTAACTTACAAGAGAAATGGCTTAGAAAAAAATCTATACCATATTGACATTTACAGCAACAAGTTTCTGATAGCAGGAAGATCGTTTCATGACCTGCATTTACTTCAAATCTCCAAAATCTGACTGACTGGCATCAAGTCTTTCCCGTACTTCAGCTTTAAGATAGCTGGATGAATGAAAAGATGGAATTTAATCAGCATTTCTAACTTGTCCTGTTAAACAGCTTGTGTTGGGAAACTGACAAGAGAACATGGCTTAAAGTAAAACAAATGATAAAGGAGAAACTGAAGACTTTACAATGAGATAAACCAARGAGTGATAGAACCAGGAAGCCTGGAACAATCTCATCTTTGTCTTTACCTAATAGACAAAGTTGTTTGCTTGGATTCAACACTGCACTTTCCTACAAAAAGACCCGCCCAACTGAAGACACGTCCAATTACTGCRGTTCATAACCAGATATAATTAAAGACAGATAAAACACAGCTAGTACCAGCAAGGGAATCTGCATAAGTCTGCAAAAAAAGGAGATACAAATCTGTCAAGTTTGTATCTAATAACCACATATATACATCTATGAGTATAAAAATGTACATCTGTTCAAATTAATCTGAGAATATTTCTCCAGGCAGGTGTTTAATGCAGGATATGTGAATAAATATTATCTTACATAGATTATTGGTAAACACATTATTATGAACAGTTAGGAATTAAAGACAAAATAAAGTACATTATATATAGATATAAAACAGTTTAGACTCTTGCTAAATGTGAACTGTATGGTTTTATTTATACATGTACAATCTGAAACCATTACTATTGATAATTTTTCTTCCACAACTCTACAAYGACAAGACATACTGTTCTGTGTCACTTTATTTTGAGTAAGGTTTTGTTGCATTAAATCTTACATAAAACGGAGAGAACTAAAGGTTTGAGAAGTTTCAGCTATTTATGTCTTTGATGTATGCTACCATGTTACACAAAATGATATTTATTCATAGATCAACAGATTTTTATGTTGAATGCTCTTTCCAGTAGAACATAATGTTAAGAAACTTCAATTTTTTAAAATAAATATCATCATACAACTTACTCAAAAGTTTACATGTTACAAGTTTAACATCTGATAAAGGCAGATTCTGGAGGGAAAAATGGAAAGGACTACAATGAAAACAACTGTTTTTTTCCTGTAGCACTTTAGATATGTTTAGAAACGTTTCTGAAGAGGTCCAAAAGCTTCCTACCACATAATATAATGGAAATGTGACTGTTTTTWAAAAAACCTGCTGAGCATTTCAGTCTTTAATATTCTACGGTTTCTTTCCATTCTACATAAAAATAGACAATCATTTAATTTCTTGTGGCTTCACAAAGTAGGGTTGAGCGATAYTGGCAAAAAAATTAATCTCGATTAATTGTGGTATTTAGCCGATATTGATTAATTTGACGATTAATCCCCTGGAGTCCCTGGACACCCTTATGTCCTAGTCATATGACCAATTTAGTGGGAAAGATTTGCTCTCTGTAAAAATCTGTTCCAAATTGTAAAAAATTACAGACTTCGGGCTATACATCGAATTTTAAATTGTGTTGATAGATAAATAAATTACATTTTTTTAAAAAAATGTTCATCATATTTGAAGCGGAGAGGAGCACCAAGCAGACCGCCTGGGGAAATATCCAGTCAATCTGCCTGGTRGCATTAATCCTATTAATTGTCAAGTGCCAAAAAAATAATCGATTAATGTTTTTCAGACGATTAATTGCACACGATACGATTATGCCCAACCCTATCACAAAGACAATAAAGCATGGATGAAATGTTAAATACGAACATTTTCAAATCATAAATGTGTAAAAGATATGTTTCTCTGAAGCTGTGAGACGAGAAAATTTAGTAAATAAAAATGATAGCTGTTGCAATGTGCACTCAATCATTTTGTGAAGAAAGATCACACCTGCTGATAAAAGCTCACACTGAAATTAGATCTGGCACAAACACATGTAATGAAACTAGAACTGGAAAAAATAAATACTTGGCTGCAGCTCAACTCATGTTCATTACTAGAAAACAACACAAACATATTATGCAATATTCTGTTAGTAAACAAGCAGTAAACCATGATACTGTAATTACTTAAGTTTATTTAACATACAGGAAAAGGGAGGGATTTTCTTATACATGTAAAAAAAAAAAACAGTACTACTTTGATTATTTTATCTAAGGACTAGACAGACCTCTCTGAATCATGTCTTTTTTCTAGTTCTTCATTAAAGTGCAGGATCCTGAGATTTCTCTATTACTATTAAACCAGCCTGTGGAACATTAATGCTGCATCGTTATTTTACAGCAGCAGTTGAAATGCACCTTGTTGTCATACCGCAAGCTAACAGGGCCCTCATCATATCATCTGCAAACTGTAAACAGATGACATTATCTTTGTATTTAGTGGCTATCCACTAAAAACCAACGCGAGATAAAATCCAAAGGCCTTAATAATAGAAGTGTATCGTTAACTTGTTAACTGGGGACACGTCTGACATATATAACAAAAAATYGGAGGTGCACTACGCCATTTCGGGGTTTATTTAAGGCTTTAGCTTGGCGTTCAGGCCTTTTTTAATATGAAGCTATGCTAATACGCTAACTCTGTTACTGATGGACTCAGAACCCAAAACATACATTATTTTGTTCCAATGCAGCAGGCTGTATTATAATGTTAATTTGCTGTCGTGACAGGTATTTGTTGAGCACTTGGTCGTTTCGTTAGCAGCCTGTGGCTAACACCCCCACACCCTCGACGCAAACCGGACAAAAGGCCCAACATCTGCCAGTGTCAACAACTTCTACACTACGATAAAGACGGGGGAACCTGTGACAAAACTCCTGTCTTTATTTGGCGGTTATTGCCAGTGTGTTTTTAAATATTCAGCTATTTTAATAGTCAAGGGAATGGAGCTGTCAACCCCAACCCTTGCGTCTCTGCTTTTACCACGTCATTGGACTATCCAACGCTGCGGAAATACACCGCTAAAGCTAAGTGCTAACCGAATGCTAACTGGAGCTTACCCGTGTCCCCGATGATGATGTATTTGAAGAGATACGCGTACGCCATGGCCCCTGGGTTTTGCAGTCAACTGTCTCAACTGTTACACCTTCGTAAAACCTAGTGTGAACCGTGTAAAAAGAGGATTTGACAGCTTGTCAGCCTATTTTTTTCTGTGTCGGCGCTGAGGAAGGAACAATAAACAGCCAGACCTTCGGCTCTACGTCACTCGGTCCGCCCCCGCCACGCTACAGAATGATACGTTCAAGTCCTGCTCGGAAACGCCGGACAGTACACCCGAAGGCTGTATAATGTGCGCACTTCACGGTGTTAAATTGATAGAAAAGTGCTTCAGCCCCTGTAACACACCTAAAATGTAATCCTAATTTTAAGTGCCAATAACTTTTCTGATCACTAAGAGCAATGGAGCAGAAAAAAAACTAAAGTTGTTAAAATAAAATTAAAAATATTGATTATTCACAAATTCACATTTCTTGACTTTCTAAAATCACCGTGTTGAGTCAGCATTTCTATCCTAAGAGATAAAGTGATCTACAGATACATATTTTGTTTTAATTCTTCACAGAAAAACATTTATTCGATCTGTAGATTTTTAAAGCAAAAGCTCAAGAAACACAGATTCTTTAAAAAATTATAAACAAAATAGTACTCATTTTTGGACACTTTCTCTCACAGTTAACAAAGGCATCCATGTAAAATTAATGGTAGGCTATACACTTGTGGAATTATAGATAAAATCTGCACAGTGATACTTTTTTTTGTTCTTCGATCGATGATTTTTACCACGTTCTTGTCAAACATCAAATAAATCTGTTTAAACACATAATGTATCAACTGACTGCAAGTTGGGAAAAAATACAAAAAGCTAAGCAATCACATTAAACAAACTCCCTGAGCTTCATAGGGAGAATTAACCTCAAACATGAAAGAAAGTTTGGGAAACAGAAACTGTGGAAATATGACTCACAAAGAAAATCTCCAGAAAATGGGGAAGTGAAAAACTCAGGAAGCTGCAGTTTGAGCTTGTGGGATCAGTCAGGACCATGAGCGAGACATGAATGTTTTACAGCTTTAATAACACATACATCTAAATGTAGAGGATATTTACACTCCTGGCAGAACTACCTCATAAATCTGTTTTCTTAATATTGACCCCTGAGTTCCATGGAATTGATAAAGGAAATTTTAATAAATTAAAGTTTATTTGATGAGAAATATAGGCCTAAGTAAAATTATTCTTTAGTCACAAATGCAAATGTCTTGAATTCATCATCATGTGATCCTATTTTTGATCCATATTTCAGTGGGCTCACGCTGTAGCAGATGACTGGTTACTAACTGTCATCTGGTTCTGACTTACGATCATTACAAGGCTCGCTAAACTGCATCCAGTGATTATTTCTTGAAAGTTTCATTAACATCTGTCTGGTAGCTCATGAAATATTTTACTAATAGAAACAGAAACAAATTTCAGACAAAAATATTAGCACTCATGTGTTTGGACCCAGCCTCAACAACCACACCTTTAGGTCTGAATTATAACCATTTGCGTTGTGGTTTTAAAAAGAGCCTTTAGATTTTTTTATTTAATCAAATAATAAGAGATAAGCTGTTGTTAATCTGTTGTTATGATTGTTTTCATATATACAAACATGACAAGACATGTTGATTAGAATTGAGAGAAAGATGAAGACTGACCTGCATTCTGTATAATGACCACTAGAGGGAAACGTCTCCAATTTTCATGAGAAACTTCTGGTTCTCCCTGATTCTTTACATCAGTAAACCTGCCTGTGTGCAAAAACTCTAAATCTTTTGTTTTCTCTTTGATAGAGTTTTACGTTTAATTTACAAATTCACGCTTAGATTGAAACGAAACTGATCAAAATTAGGTCCAAAGCAAGGATTTTGTTCATTTCTCTTACACATTCTGTGAGAGATAAACAGAAAGTGTCTCAGAGTTTTAATCCAGCTATAGAGTGTGAGTTCACTCAGATGTGGACCACAGGCAGAGTTCTTCATGTTCTGGTTCTGGATGTACGGCAGGGAAACGAGGGAGCCTGCCTTCATTTCTGTGGCTCCAAGGACAGTTTCCAGATAAAGAATGTAGGGTAATTAATCATCAGCCTTGAGGTAATGGGTTACAAAAGAAAGAAATGAACCAAAAATGAACAAGCGGGACAACTAATTAATTTAACTAAGTTTCTTAAAAATAAACTTAGATGTTAAAACATGTTGCTAACAATTCGATTTTTGTCATGAAAGACAAATAAAACTTATAAGATCAATGTGATTTTACTAATATTAAATATGGGAAAGTCACAGCTTTTTGATTTTTCATGTTTTTCATCTTGAAGTCATTAAAGTTGGAGAACAGTCAGGCCTTTCATTCATTCTCCCCATCCTGTCATTTTCTTTCTGTTTTCTTTACCATCGCTGTTTCCTTCACCCAGGGGTGGGTCTGTGGCCTCCAAGAGAAACACAAGCATGACTTTCCTGCCAGCATATTCCAACACACACACACACACACACACACACACAC